TCCATTAAAGTACAAACTGCTTCTGATCTAGTCGTAATGAGAATCTTGCAGCCTTTATGGTGTTCAGAAGAAGGAATCCCAATACGACCAAAGTCAAGGTTTTCCCACACATCATCGAGAATTATAAAAATATGTTCCTCTTGAGTTAATCTTGAACACAATCTTTGTGCTCTCTGCATTTCTTCGGTTTCTGGAAATTTAAATTGCAGTGAACTTGCTATTTTTTCTTGAATGCTCCGAACTTCCACTGAACTAGAAACAGGTACAAAAAGAACTTTTTCAAAAAGATGCTCTGCTTCTACTAATTTCCTAACCTCCATTGCTAATGTGGTTTTACCACAACCTCCCATCCCATACAACCCAATCATGGAAACATCATTATTTTTTACTGCATCCAGTAGTTTCTCGTATGCAGATTGTGTACTATCAAAATATACGCATTTTTCTGAAAGCATATCAAGGGTGTTTAAAGGAAGCGGTGCGGGGCTGTTAAATGGCACATATTTTGTTCCTTTTTCAATGAACTTTTTGAGGTCTATAGTTTTATTTGCTAACTTTTTTCCAACCTGGTATCGCCAAATCCAATTTGGACAGTGCCCAAAGCAACAATGTTTTTGTGTTCTTGCCTCTTTCAGCAACTTATTCACATTGTCTACATCATTGACAGCATCTTCCAGCCACTTGTCCACAATTGCACTGGGCGTTTTCGCTTGTTTCTTGTCATCCGTAACAGATTTTTGGACACTATCTCTCGTTCTAATCAAATTGCTCTCTTCTTTTTCAAGCCTTTTGACGAAATTGTTAAAGCAACAAGGATAACGTAATTGATTTAATGCTCCATACACTAAATCTCTTGAAACAGAAGATGGTAACCACTGCATCACTTTATTCCAACCTATACAACTTTCTTAAACCTGAAAAGAAAAGATAAAGGCACTTGTTAGTCTTATTATATTTACATGTATTACATAACAAAATGATTTTAAAATAATTTATTTCATCATTCAGTAAATAAAAAGTTATCAAGTGTAGGAATTAAGTTTAATGTTTTCTATCCTAAATAGTTAATTATGGGATAGACAATAAAAAATCTAATAACTTTAATCATTGCTTTTAAAAATCTAATAACTTTAGTCAATTATTGACAAAGGGATTAAATAAAATTATCAAGAATCTTATGTGAAAGTCATGAAAATATCTACTCGTGGTACTGAATCAATTGAGGAAAATACAAACTTCAATGATTACATAATATTAATTAGTTGAGTGTGAGTTGTTTTTCCTGTGAAATTAGGTGGTTCCATTGTATTATGTCCTATAAAGGAAAGATTAAAAAGAGGAGTTCATTAAGCTCCTTTAATATTTCTAAATACATAATTTCTCTCTATTTTAATTTTAAGTTGGTACTAGAGGTTGCTATTAACCAGCCATGAGGTCCTTCCATGGAAAGCTTGACCACAAGTCTCCTTATTGTTCCAACACTTCGTAGAAAGGAAGTTCATGAACCTATGGAACCGTCTTCTATGGTTATCACACGAGGAAGGAGATGTGGAGGACGAGGAAGTACTCAATGCACATACTGTAAAAAGATTGGTCCCAAGAAAAGTGTTTCTCCAAGCATGGTTTTCCTACCAAGACCGCCCATGTCTCTAAGGCAGATGTTACCGACTCCAAATTTACTAATGAAGAATAACAAAAGTATCTAAGGTTAAAATCTAATAACTTGGTACAAACATCTGAAACTTCAAGTACATCAACGACTTACATTTTCCAATCCATGAAAGGTCAAAATTCATAGATAATTGACTCAGGTGCTTTTGATCACATGTTTGATAATATCTCTTTGTTCACATCTCTTTCTTTTAAAAACAAAAACATCATTTCATAACTATGGCGAATGGATCTAAAATTTCCTCAAAGGTAGTCGGTCAAGTTTAACTTTCTCCTTCACTTAATCTTAAATATGTTCTTTTTGTTCGTAATTGTCCTTCTAATCTAATTTCATTAAGCTAATTAACCAAAATGTTAAATTGTTCAATAACCTTTGTCATATGGAGCATGGTTTAGGGAGACGAATTAGAGAAAGATATGATGTTGGAGGATTATACCATTTTGGAAGTCCATATGTATCATGTGTTGCATCTTTGAGACCTAAACTGTTATTTGATCAATTAGGACATCTTCCTTTGTCAATATTAACAAAAATGTTTTCTAAGCTCAGTAGTCTCTAAACCTTAGAATGTGAATCTTGTTAACTCAGAAAATATGTTAGATCTACCTTTCCTAAGAGGTCTTAAACAACGAATAAGTATATTTTTTCTATTTTCCCTTTTGATATATGCATGCCTAGTCGCATCTTAGCGTTTGGTTTTAAGTATTTTGTTATGATCATTGATGAATATTCAAGATGTACTTGGGTTTATCCTATGAAAGATTATTCTAAATTGTTGTCTATCGTCATATCCTTTTCGAATGAAATAAGGAATAAATTTGGTCAAGTAATTAAAATTTTAAGAAGTGATAATGCCAAAGCGTATGTACTTTTCATCTAATGTTTCTACTGTCTTAAGTTCCCATGGTATGTTACATCAATCACTTGTCCTCACACACCACAACAAAATGGTATAGCAAAAAGAAATAAATAAACACATAGTTTGAACAGATGGCTCATACTGTATAGGTGTAAATATTATTATTCATCATTACGAGGATGTCATCCTAACTGCATGTTTTCTTATTAACAAGATGGCATCCTCCTATCTTAAAAATAAGGTTCCTTTTTCCATTCTTTTTCTAAATGACCCTTTTTTCACATCTCTCCTAATCTTTTTGGTTGTGTATATTGTTTTCATGACATGTCTCAAGGGTTAGATAAATTATCTGCTCGTACTATCAAATGAGCCTTCTTACACTATTGATCATGACTTCGAAAGGGATACTAGTGTTACTCTCCTAAAACTAAGAAGTACTACATGTTTGTCAATGTCACATTCTTTGAACATATTCCTTACTTTTCTTCATATATTCAAGATGTTCATGTTATTCGGCAAGTCCTCCCTATACCTTTAGTTGAGTACAATATTTCTAGCTAACTGTCAATTTTAGTCTTGATTAAAGTCCTCATGAACCATCATCTCCACTTACTGATTCCACCTACAAGATACCTCAATTGATAATCTAGTTATCCAAGAACAAGGTGAATCTCTTACATCAAATTCTTCTCCATGTCACTCAATACCATGACACGCGGTGAAGATGATTCAACATGGCTCATTGCTATGAAAAAAGGTCCTCATTCCACTTGAAACTCACATCTTATTCATAACTTTTTTAATTTTCACAAATTGTCGTTTTCCTATTATTACTTTTTATCCTCCGTGTCCTTTATTATCATTTCCAAAAATGTGAATTAAGCACTTGATATCCTAGATGGTGACAGGCTATGCTTGTCGAAATACAGACTCTTAACAGAATAATAGTTAGGTGTTAGTTCCTCTTCCATGAAAAAAAAAGGAAGTTGGATGTCGATGGGTATATGCCATTAACATAGGACCTAATGGTGAAGTTGATCAGGTCAAAACCCGATTAGTTGCAAAGAGGTATACTTAGATTCATAGATTTTGTTGGATCAAATGACCAACTAGCATATGTGTTGTCCAAATCCTTAAGGGGACCTGAGATTGAGTTTATTTGTTTCAAGCTTGGTATATAATTTATATGCTCCAGCTTGAGAAGGAATGTTAGTAATTAAATCCATGTCATATACACACAACTATGTGTGAGTTGTGTAATTAGTTGAGTGTGAGTTGTCTTTCCTGTCTAGATTAGCTGGTTCCATTGTATTAAGTCCTACAAATGAAAGGTTATGAAAAGGAGTTCATCAAGCTCCTCAAAGACTTCTAAATACATAATTTCTCTTTGCTTTAATTTTAAGTATGATTTTCCTAATAGAAATAATATTTTAATATCTTAGTATGCATTATGTTTGTTAGAGATTCCACATCAATTAGAGATAAGACCAATTTAGTGTATATAAGTAGCTGCAAGCCTCATTTTATAAGTTGGTTTTATGGAGTTTGAGTTAGGCTTAAAGTTCACTTCATAACATGGTATTAAATTCATGAGTTTGAGCAAGATTTGTGATTTTTTTGGGTTTATTATTCTAATCGCTATCAGACCACTCATTAATGTATAATCCCACACTCGACATGTATATACCTTGGCATGAATGAGTGTGTTAGAAGTTTCACATTAACTAGAGATAAGACTAATTTAGAGTATATAAATGGGTACAACCCTCACCTTGTAAGCTAATTTTTTGAGATTTAGTAGACTTAAATTCCATTTGTTAATAATGTTTGTTTAATTTATTTGTTTATTCATTCATATAAACATATACAATGACACATAAACCAAGTGGAAGAATATAAGGTTTTATGTCTCGTGTTAATTAAAGATATCAATGAGTAAATAAATTAATAATAAAGTGGAAAATCGTAATTACTCTATTGAGGAGCAATTTTCTAATGATGACTACTAGTTGATGGGTCGAGCAGAACAAAAAAACTTGTATTTATATGAACCACTAAGGTATAAAGAAAGCTTTCTCGTATGTTTCTTCATGTTACATCCGTTAAGAAAGAAGATTGTAAAATAGAGAGTCAAAGTGACTAAAAAAAGCTTAGTATCAAATCAAATCTCTAAAGCATTAAAGGGTGTTTTCTCATGAAAAAAGGTACACATACTCTTTCTTTAATATATGTGAGAATCACGTAATTTTAAAATCCTATTTTGGCTATCTATATCATGCAGTTATTCGAAAATCATTTAGTTTTGCCATGTGTTTTTCTTTACCAAAGTCACTAATAGTCTTTTCTAGCCATATTAGTTACGTCGACTATGTCACTAATTATCTAGTCCCCATCTATTTCCATGTTTGTTGTCTTTAGTGTAAGGGGATGTGTTGAAAATCTCACGTCGACTAGATATATGACCAAGTTATAATGTATAAGTAGGTACAAAGCTCACATTCTAAGCTACATTTTGAAATATGTGAATGCTCGATGTCCTTAATGTGAGGTGTGTTAGAAATCTCACATTAGCTAAAGATGTGCACAAATTATAACACATAAGTGAATATAAACCTTACCTTACTAAATTAATTTTACATATGATTAAGTTAGGCTTAAATATCACTACATAATAGCTTTTAAAGTTATTAAAAATCTATCTTAGCAAAATTAGTTAGATATATCAAACATACCTCTTTACCATTCCAATGTCCTCAATTTAAGAGAATGTATTCAAATTTTCACATTGATAANAGTATCAAATCAAATCTCTAAAGCATTAAAAGGTGATCTCTCGTGAAAAAAAGATACACATGCCCTTTCTGTAATATATGTGAGAATCACATAATTTTAAAATCCGATTTTGACTTTCTATATCATGCATTTATTCGAAAATCGTTAAGTTTTGTAAAATGTATTTTTCACATTACCAAAGTCACTAATAGTTTATTCTACCAAGATTAGTTACACATATTATGTCACTAGTTATCTAGGCCCCCTTTATTTTCATGTTTGATGTCTTCAGTGTGAGAGAGTATGTTGAAAATCTCACGTCTGCTAGATATATGATCAAGTTATAACGTATAAATAGGTACAATGCTCACCTTTAGAGCTGCATTTATGAGATATGTGAATGCTTGATGTCCTTAACGTGAGCTGTGTTGAAAATTCCACATTAGCTAAATATATGTACAAATTATAATATATAAGTGAATGCAAACCTCACCTTACTAAATTGATTTTATAAGATTTAAGTTAGGATTAAATACCACCACTTTAATATCTTTATACAGTTGTTAAAAATCTAAATG